TATTGCTGAAAGTGAATCTCAAGAGAAACACAGAGGTAGAACCTTTATTGGCTGCTTTATTTCTATCATAGAAAAGGAAGATCCCCCTACAGCAAGCAGTCGGACAATCAGTCAGGTGATTTTGTCAGCATGCTGTGTTTAGATGACCTTGGCATGAAATCAGATAAAATGTTCAAAAGTGGCCTGGCTGACCTGTCCATGGGATAATGTGTACTGTCAGACTGTTTGTCCCTGTCACCCCCTGGCACTAGGCTCAACATCCCCAATGCTTTGCCTAATGGTAGTAATAGCAGAGGAGGAGGAGGTACCTGTGACGGACGCCCTTTGGTCTGGTCTGGAGGAGTCTGCTCGCCTGCTAGCCAGCCTCCTACCACAGTACTATGGGACATGGAACCGTCTCATAAAAAACTTATGTTACAGCTAACATACTCAGTATGTTAGCTGTATAAAATAAAATGCTGATGTGGCCGTTACTTGAAATATTGCCCAGGTGCCTAATTCGGCTGACAATAAGAGGCGTGCGTTACGCCCACAACTCATCAGAGGGCGAAACATCTGATGAGTTGTGGGCGAAACGCGCATGTTATTTCTCATATTCTGCATTAAGTACACATTTTCAGTTTTGCACTCATCTGGGTACAACACTATTTATGTAGACTACGTTTGTGCAAAGATATTTTCTTTGCACATTCCATTCACATCACATTTTTGCTTGGCTTCATTGATAACCAGCATTGTTGATGTGGGATCGAGCACTGGAAGTTTTATTTATGATAGAGTCATTTTAGCTCAGATACCATTTTTTGCTCACTAAGTAGGGACATTTACGCAAAACTGCAACATTGTTCTTTGCAGTTAACACCTAGAGGACACTGAAAACTTTTGAACAGGTCCTCATTGCTCTCATTACTAGATGTAGTGTTACATCTCCCATATCTGGAGATGCCATTTTACGGCAGGATAACCACACTTGTCGTTACTAGCCTTTCTCCCAGTGCTCAGTCCTTAGGTAACAGCTCAGCATTTAGGGCTCTTACCTAGTAGGTAGCTTTATGATTTAGATTTTTAGTCTAATTATTATATACACTTGTACAGCCTACTACATTTATTTTCTTTCTTAGGTTTATCGTTTATGTACATAGTGTTCTATTATTGTCCAGCCTATTTATATGCTTACCATTGCATATTCACTTCCCCATGATGTTAAATAAATACTTGCCAAAATAAACACTAGTTTGACCTTTAATGGCATCTTCAACTTAAGGGGGCTAGAAAACTTTCATACTTATTAACAAATATTAGCATTAAATTACTACGTTCTCATGCAGTTAGAGCTTAAACCCTATGGCACATTCTTTAAATTAATTAAAAAAAATAATAAGTGTATTTTCTTACAAAAGTATTGAAAGAAGTGAAAACGTCTGTACAACACTGACTTGGTAAAATAATGTATTGAACTTTATGGCAATCTAGAAACTAATATACCTCTTTTAAAATATTTCAAAATAATGTACCATTTTATTTTACTTGCTTGTGTGCTCAAATATAAATATATTTGAAGGCACATTCTTGGCACCATATCTTTCATTCCTTGTGTTGTATTCTAGCAGACAGTGCTGTCAATATGTCAATTACTAGTGTCCATTGAACTTTTGCCTGTGACCTAATACATCCCTTGTTCTCTCTCAGTTGACAATTTTATAAGGCTCCAGCCAAACTGGCCGCTAGCAACTGACCTCTCTATAGAGTGTCTTATTATGGTAATTGCATGAATGAATACAGCAGAGACTAGGCCAATTACACCTGTCTATGTCTAATTCAGCTAAGGGTTTAAATTACTTTGATGGGACATACAGGGTAAAGAGTCTCAGGTGAACAACAAATTTCCCTTTATTCGTATGATGCCTATAGACTGACATCTATAATTATGCTTGTCAGTAGTGTCTAATAATCCTAATAACATCTTACTATACTGTTTTAAATAACCTTAACATCAGTCATTTAGGTTTAACTGTGTTTTGCTAAAACTATTAATTTAAAAAAGTTATTTTGAATTTATGTGCATATCTTTGGAATCCTGTATTTAAGAGGGATTTTGTGTATCCTTAGAAATATTACTCATATAACTCATAATAATACAACAATGCTTAAATACCTTTTATAGATATGCTGATATGTACTTTTGTTTAATATAAGTTAAGTAATTAATTTTCAACATAATGAAAGCACTTGATAGTCAAGAAGGGAATTGAGACATTTAAATTGGAAAAAAAAAGTGTTTAAAAGGACTATTCTGTAAATATATATATATATATAGTGTAGATTGGATACTGGATTAGTCCAGTAGACAAGATGCCAAAATTCAGAGTATACTGCAATACTCTGGCATATATACACATACATTGTGTAGCCTTTGGCCTGAATACATTTTAGTATTTTTGTATTTGTAAAAAAATGCAGTATTCTGTATTTTCACCCTATTTCCTCTGCTTCGCCTCTTCCAGTCTAAATCTTATATTGTGGCTTCCTGTACCTGTAAACATCTTTCTTTTTATCCCTACCTTCTAACCTTCAGTGCCCAATATCACAGACTTACATGTCACCGAGAAGCACTGCAAAACTTACTGGGAGCAGAAAGTAGAATGCGAATAAATAAACTACAAATTTCAGGAACTCCAGTTCTGAGCAGAACCCGAGGTTGTGCACAGACAGAGATAGTCAGCCCTTCCCACTACACACTATTAGACAAATAGGCAGTGTGACAGATTAGATTTAGGTGTGATTTATCCCATGTGTAGGCTAGTGACCTTCAACTTTTAATCTCTGTATTCAGAGTTAAATAGCTATTGCCTTATCTGTTTTTAAATTGTTACTGTGCAGAACTAATATGGCAATGCATAGATCCAATGTATAAAAGGACAAACAAGGAGTTATAAGGCTAAAAAATAAGCATGCAGTACACATTTACATCAATATCCAACCAGAACCCAAACAACGTTTTGGCATGCTAAGGTGACTTTCCCAATTGAAAAGTCACCCTAATGTGCCAAAATGATGGAGTTTTGGAACTTGTGTTTTGCTCTGGTACAATATTGATGTGAATTTGAATGCTTCAGTATATGCTTATTTTTAAGCGTTACCAATCCTTACTGGTTCTTTTATATGTTGGATCATTATATTTATTATATTGATTTGTAAATAAATTTGCATTTATATTAGCAGCACTTTGGGTGTGCACCCTGGTTCGTGATTAGATATTTGTATTTCATACCTAGGTGAGTACTTACTAAGGATTACACCATTTTCTGTATTATATAATTGGCATATTTTAAACTCTGCTATGCAAACTACTGTACTGAATTAAACATGCCCAACACTTTAGACACCATAGCCCAGTATGGAAAACCAATTCCCTAGTAAGGGCTGTGCTCAAGGAATATGATGTAATAAATTGGGATTTACACAAACAGAAACTCACTTTTAAAATGCAATATTTCACCTTTTATTAAACTAATTAAGTTCGCCATTTATTAATTTAAAACTGATTTCTTTTGCATATAGTTTAATGCGGTATCTTTATGCAAACAACTTGGGTCAATTCCAAATCCAAGTCTGAGGTGCACCTTTAAAAATCTGCAGTTGTATGCAGAAACACATACATATATTTAAAATAAAAACCATAAACCAAGTAAGATATGCATCATCCAAAATCAGAAAGAGATAACGTGGTGTAGTAAAATAATACATTTAAAAGAAGAACTAGAAAATGGTGGTTCAGTACAACACCATTTATAAACCACAGGAAATATAGTTCCAGAGACTCTGTTTTGCAAAGCATTTTAAAAGGTTCTAATATCATCCAAAATGTTCAGACTTCTTTGTTGGTTTGAAAAGAAATTGCAAAAATGCAAGTTTATTTACTATGTAAAAGTATTTAAGTATCCTAATAATATTCTGCTTACTACTTTTGCAAGTGCCTATTCTTGTGATGCCCTTACAGAATGAATATACATTACATGGTGAGAACTGTGTACACATAACAGTTCCACTGGTGATGGCAGGGAGTAGTTTGGTCCAAAAAACAATTTGAATCCAGAAAGTACTTTTGTCTAGTTAGGCAAATTTATAGAGAGGAAGCTCATGAAATAAGTTCATTAATGTACCTACTGTCCTGGGATGAATTGAGTCACTTTGCACAGACTTAAAAAGCAGTTCATATAAGGGCAATCCAAAGCCTGTAATTCACTGGATTTATATCTCTGTGAATTATACTCTTTGACACAATGATCTGCCATCTTAAATAGCATATTCATGAATCTCTATCACTACTGCTAGTTGCAAAGTTTAGTGTATATGTAAGGTAAGTGCAGAGAGAGATCCACACTACAATAGCATTGGTAGTGTACTCACAAAGCAAGATGCCTCAGCAAGCATCATTATATGCATACAAATTGTAGCCCCAGCCACTTTAGATGCTTTAGAAATCGCTACGTTAAAATATCCCAATGAGTGACACCAAATCACAAATACTCAAAACACCTTATGTGGGTTTCCCTTTATCCCCACATGAAAAAAGACATATACATAGGGTATAAGGTGGAGTATATATACACAATAAATCTTCCAGTGATAGAGGCAATAGAATTATCCAGGTGGGAATATTCTCTAAAATATGAACATAGATAAAAAGAAATAGTGCAATATACAATCGGTAATACAATATGTATAAAAGATGAAGCACTCACAAACACAGAGCCAATACACAGGCTCAAGAATGGAGCTCTGTGGGTACTAGAGGGACCCACTTCCTTCTTGTTCCTGCCTGTAGTATCCAAATATAGGATGTCCTCTCAGGATGTAGAAAAAACTAGGGAAGAGACAACGGTCCTTTCCTGTGTGTGTTTGTCCCGGATCTTTTGGCAACCGCACAGCCCTCTAGGGTAAGAAAACCAGGTGAAGACAAAGTCCAGTTTCAAAAAGGCCTCTGGCCTGTTTATTTTCTGTTATGAAGTAACAGGATACAATAAACAGCAAACCTTCTTTCTCCACAAAACACCTTCTTTCTCCCCAAAACACTTGGAGTGTTTTGAGGAGAAAGAAGGTGTTTTGTGGAGAAAGAAGGTGTTTTGTGGAGAAAGAAGGTTTGCTGTTTATTGTATCCTGTTACTTCATAACAGAAAATAAACAGGCCAGAGGCCTTTTTGAAACTGGACTTTGTCTTCACCTGGTTTTCTTACCCTAGAGGGCTGTGCGGTTGCCAAAAGATCCGGGACAAACACACACAGGAAAGGACCGTTGTCTCTTCCCTAGTTTTTTCTACATCCTGAGAGGACATCCTATATTTGGATACTACAGGCAGGAACAAGAAGGAAGTGGGTCCCTCTAGTACCCACAGAGCTCCATTCTTGAGCCTGTGTATTGGCTCTGTGTTTGTGAGTGCTTCATCTTTTATACATATTGCATTACCGATTGTATATTGGCTATATTGCACTATTTCTTTTTATCTATGTTCATATTTTAGAGAATATTTCCACCTGGATAATTCTATTGCCACTATCACTGGAAGATTTATTGTGTATATATACTCCACCTTATACCGTATGTATACTTTAGATGCTTTGTCTAGCGTAACACTACTGGCTACTAAGTATATTTTGTTGCTTGTAAGGTACTAAGTCAAAGCTGAAGTCAGATAACAGCAGAGGGATCTGAAGAAGTTCACCATGTTTTCACAACTCCTATGCTTTTCCGGAGCATATGCTCACTTAATCAAATACCTCACTATGATGGCTTAAACAGTCATTACTTTTAACTGCAAGCAATAACTCCTGCAATGCTAGAGCTTATGTAAATGCATATAGACAGCTTAAATCTTCCATAAACATTCAAACTATTAAAACATATATGAAAACTTCAATAAATAATCCAGGTAATTATGTATGACTCATTAGAAAGGCAAAATAGGCACAAAAAAAAAAAAAAGTATTAAATGTGTTAAATGTTAAAATATGTTGTTTCCAGTTCTACTTTAAACGCCAGTGTTTGTTAAAGGGATCACTCCTTTATATGATGGACAGAAAATGAGGATCACTCCTTTATATGATGGACAGCAAATGAGGATACCTATCCATTACATTGTTGCATTGGTTGCTTATTGCAAAAATCCCATTTAATCAAATTCTTCCTACTGAAATTCATTCCTTTTAGACATACTGATTTAAGGCGTTGCTGGTTACAGTGATTCTGGATGGATCTATGGGGATTCTGTTAAAATATTGAAGATTCACCTACAATTTCCCTATACACCACATCATTTACTCACATCTATTTTTGTGTCAACTCCTTTTCTCAAATAACAAATTTGTTTGTTGAATGGATTATGGTTATTACACACATCCAAATAGCCATTACAATCAAAGTTTGTTCTATGATTCTTAGTCCATAGATTATGACTTTCATCCACAAAGAGATTCAAATCCAGAAATATTACAGATTTTGGAATATGATCATCAATAAATGTAAGCCCCGTGGTATTGTAAATTCTAAATTCAACAAAGGAATCTTGATCACAATCAGTATTCCACCATTTCATAGTAATAACAGCTGCACATTTTCAAAAAAATATTGTCCTGCCTGAATTCAGTTTTATTGGATTAATAGTTTCTAAATATATATATATATATATATATATATAGGAGTTGTGAAAATATGGTGAACTTCTACAGATCCCTCTGCAGTTATCTGACTTCAGCTTTGACTTAGTACCTTACAAGCAACAAAATATACTCAGTAGCCAGTAGTGTTACGCTAGACAATATATATATATATATATATATATATATATATATATATATATATAGTATATAAGGCAATGACATCTTGACTTACCAATATGCAATCTGGGGAACATTGTGTCATATCCTTAAGGCAACGTTTCAAGTCCCACAACACTAGACAGACCTAAAAGTTCTGCACCCCTGCAAGCTTGGAGAGTCCATGACACAACAGTGGTGAATTTCTACTTGACAGTCCTGAATTTTTCACTCTCTAATATCTTGTGTGCTAATTGATATCTTTATCCACACTTATCAATTATGACCCATAGTTGTAGAAGAAAATTAGCATACGTCGACACAGTAATAGAATTTATCCCTAGTAATGAGATGTCCAAGTTGGCATATAGGGTCTTCATTGACTTTTGCAGGATAGTAGAAAATAGGATTCCTGATTGTCAAGGACAAGTACAATACCTCCATATGCAAAGTATAACCTCTGATTAATACCGAGGATACTCCCCCTGTGGGTCAACAGAGGGAGAACACACCTAGCTTGTCATCCAAATACATGCTGAGGTGCCCCATGTTGATAATTTTACCAGCGAATCACGATTACAGACAATCAGATAGACAGGCATTCTAATGCAGATGCCAAACAGCTCTAAGCCCACTCCAACGATACAGTAACACTACTAAGGAAACATTAGCATACACACCGATACCACACACAAACGCCAGCAATGATTTCTGTTTCCTGATATGGTGTCATACTGATGTGATTTGTTCCCGCTTGCTTTTTATTCAATAGTGAAACAAAACACACATACTATAATCACCATCCCCACATATAGCAATGAAAGATATACATTCCCACATATCGCCCCCTTTGACTCACTCTTAATGTGCGGGAACCTATATGCTTATTCAGACACTTGCATTGAAATATATTCAGAATTCAATACATTGTGGTTTGAATTTCTTCTATTAGGCGTAAACACTGTTGCTTACATAACGTGCTCTTCATTTATATATAAGCTACTTGTTACTATACACTTATCGCCTACTTAGGCCTTACACCACTTCGGTTCAACCAAAATGTTTTTCAGAACCTCTACACCGGAAAACAAGACCTACCTAATGCTGTAAATGATTATCAGAAAAATCCTGTTTAGTTATGTATACTTATCTCTTTTTACTTGAATTTATAAAATTGATACCTAATGATTTCACTAGCTTCTGCGTAAGCACACGTAAACTGCATCTGCAATTTGGCTAACTTTCTGCCTTTATTACGTACAAAATAAAAAAAAAAACATTTAAACCAAAGTATAACCTCTGATTAATAAAATATATTCATCCTTGCTAATAATATTCCTCCCGTTATTTCAAATAAACAAAAAAGGGAGACTTTAGTTTTAGGGGTGTGAGTGGGGGGGTGGCCAGGGTTAGCAAGAAACTGAGACATTTTAGGGGGCACCCTCAAGGCACTATAGTGTCAGGAAAAATGCTTTGTTTTCCTTACACTGTAGTGATCCTTTAAAATTATAATTCACTTGCATTCAGTTTAAAATTGGTGCTTTGTAAATCCTCCAAATCCTAGTGAATACACCGAATGCATCTTGACAATTGCTGCAGATTCGCTTGGAGAGATCAAATGCCGAACGTATTTGACTTTAGTAGAATTTCCATTGCAGCCATATTCGGTCATTTTCAGTGTTTAGTAAATAACACCGTGTGGGTATCTTTGCTGTGGAGCACTCAGCTATAACAAAAGTATGAAACTTCTAAAAAAAAAAGGACACATGCATTTTGATGCATTTTGCCTCAAAATATGTGTAAAACAAAAATAATTTAGGCACGCAGTAGATCAACAAGGATTACCAAAACATTGTGTAAAATACAACATAAAACAAAACAAGAAGTGATAGACTGCACCAAATAGTATCTGTCAAACCTGTGTTATAAAATGCCCTTAAAGTGAAGTATATATACATACTTTCTTACTATTTGAGTGAATAATGGTTAAATTTTCAAAAAAACCTCAAGAAAAGATGAGACAAATAATAGTGCAATATGTCACATCAGTTTTAGATATTAAATAGATGGTTAGAGAACTAACTTACACTCTACTGAGCTAAGCAGAACTCTGCTGTACAGCGCTTGGATTGTACAATCCCCACCTCAGGATATATGAAGATTCCCTGAGGTATATGCAGTAGAATTCCAATATATAAAGACTAAAGTAGAAAAATAAGTTTGATAGCATAGTATGTAAGTATAAATATATTAGTATAAAAAAGGTATCCTACTTATAATTTAAGGAGTAAGAACTTGCTCTGGTATTATACAGCCTTGGTGGTATAATCCCGGTGACAGACCGCCTGGCACCCCAACTGGTACCTCCATCAAGCTCACTTCCTAGCTCTCCTCTGGAACACAGGAGTGCTTCAGCCCCCCTACCCACCACAGTTTGGCTGGGGTCTATCTGTCGCTTCCCACCGTGGAACAGTTCAAGTGATTAAGCTCTCCTGCAGAGAGTATAGCTGATCCACACAAATACTAGCCCAGACTGAGTGAAAGGTGTAAAGGAACTGGTTTGTTATGGCCAAGTTGTCTACTTTTGTACACAGCATCAAGCATGGGGTCTCCATTCAATGCAAGACAAGCCTCTCCCATAAATCTCTATGTGTGGGCGATAATTCCGTTACAGACCGGTAAGCTAATTATTTCCCAGGAACAGAGAGGCAAACATAAAAATATAAAACATAAAAATGCCCCAAAACGTTATAAAAACATAAAATAACCCCACAAATAATACATCTCCAAATCAACCTGATCTAAGCGCCCAAGTTCTCCAAACAGCGCTCAGATCCATGCAGTGTAGGAGAAATGTCACTGTGTTAAAGTTCTGACCGGCCGCACACGTGATTCAATTTCCAAAACAGTTTCAGGGCGTTTGGTGTTTTGGGTGCTCCGTCTAGGTCTCTGGTAGTGTTTGTTCCCCTTATTCTCAGACATCTACCCTCCAAAAAGCACTCTCCTGGCGATTTGAAAGTGGTTCAAAACCGCGAACCAAGTTGTCCAGGAACCACACAGTCATCTCATGCTGAAAACAGTTCCATAACATTAGCAGCTAAGTCCCACTGAGGTGACCGGGAACCCACAAAGTCCTCATGCTGAAATTAGTTCCATAGCAGTCTCGGCTAAGTATCGCTGAGGACTATTCGTGAGTTTGGTTCATTCGAACAGCTGCCAGAGAGCCAGTGTTTGGTTCCATTCTCATGAAGGGAAAGTGCCTAACCAGGGGAACCCATAGAAAGCTACTTATGGCAGCTGGGGAGCTTTAACTCCCGAACAGGATCTTTGTGTATGGGCAGGAGGCTAGCTATCAGGTTCCTCCAGGAGCTCGTGGCATAGAGTCAGCAGCAAAACAATAAAATAG